CATCAAAAACTTTGTGTTGTTTGGAACTCTCTTCTTTTACACTTTTTATTTTATCTCTAAAACCAAAAAGACCAAAATATTTTACAACTTCTTTTGTAAACTTTTGTTTAAATTAAATTAACTCGCGTCTCTCTGAGGTTCGACACCCTACTTACAAGGGATTCTTTTTAGTTGTTATTTTTGCCCGTTCTATACTACAAATCAACTTGGCGCCGTTGCCGGGGAGACGGTTTGAGTTTTTTTTATTTTAAACATAAGTTTTATTGTTTATTTGTTGTAAATATTTGTTATTAGTTTGTTTTCCTAACCTCTTCTTGCAGGTATTAAAAAAACAAAACAAAAACAAAAAAAAAACACAAAAAACAAAAAAAAAAAAACTAAAACAAAAAAAAACAAAAAAAAAACAAAAAAAAACTGAAAACAAAAAAAAATCCTTTGAATTCCTTTACTCTTGAACACTTATTGGACTTGGACATATTGGACATACCTGGACATATTGAACTATCCCACAGCTCGAACTTAAATGAAGGCATTTAAAATCTCCAGCGAAACTTTCGACGAAGACTGTGACTATCTCCAACAACCTCAAGATTTTCGGGCAGCACCACTTCACTCTCCTCACAACAAAGAACACACACGAAGAAGAATGGAAAGGAATGGTGAAGAAATGGAGGGGATTGAAGCTTCTTATATAGTGAGGGTATAGAGGAAGAAGCCAATCCATGTGTCACCTTAGTTATTCACGATCGAAGTAAGTGGAGTAGGTTGCAATTCAGTTTAATTTTACACACACACACTCACTAACTCCCTCCCTCCCGGTGTATTTATCTAGTTTAACTTTTTTCAACAGAATGAACTTTGAACTTAAATTAAACAAAACTTGTATTGTATATTTGTATAAAAATGTTTTTATTAATTTGTACTAATATGAAATACAAATTAAAAGTAATTGAAGATTAAATTTTTTCCAGTTTGACTCAAAAAAGTCAAACTGAAAAAATACACTAAGACAGAGGTAGCATATACATATATACATTTATACATACATACACACACACACACACACACACACACACACACACACACATATATAGATTGACTCCAGTGAGATAACATCCTATGGTGAGATGACATGCTTCGGTCAGATGACGCAAAGCTCACCACTGGTCACTGCAAAGCTCACCAAATTGTTGTAAGGTAAAGCTCACCATATTTTTTCAACACTTTGAATTTTTTTTGAAAAAATAAAATAAAAGGAAGGGGTGCTGACTAGATTTTGATCGTTGACTGCCAGCATTGACTACCGCCAGCCGCCGCAGCCGCGCCACCGCAGGTCGTCGCCGGTCGCCGGTCGCCGGTCACCGCTGCTCCACCGCCGCCGGTTGCTGGCCGCGGCCCCCACCGCCGGACTCCGGCCGCCTACCGCCGCTGTTGACCGGTGATTGACCGGTGTTGCTATTTTACTTTTAATTAATTTTTTGATTTTCAAAATTTAAAAAAAGGTGAGTTTTGGTGTTCAAAGTGGTGAGCTTTGCTTCATTTCCAGGTGAGCTTTGTATTGTGCATTGATGAGCTTTGTAGTGTAGTGGGGTGGGCTTGGCGTCACATCTCACTGAAGCATGTCATCTCACCGTAAAGTGTGTGTGTATATTTTATATATATATATATATATATATATATATATATATATATATATATATATATATATATGGGATTGACTCTAGTGAGATGACACAACACACAACACTGCCAATGGAAAGCTTACCAACTGCCAATGCAAAGCTCACCAACTGTCAATGTAAAGCTCACCACTTTTTTTAAATAAAAAAAGTTAAAAAAATAGCACTACCACTCAACCAGCGCTCAACCACCGGTCCACAGCGATAGTTGGGGTCATCGGTGGTGGCCATTGGTCATGGGGGGTCAAAGTGTAAAGCTCACCAAGTGTCAACGCAAAGCTCACCAATTGACAAAGGAAAGCTCACCAAGGAACAATGCAAAGATCACCATTTTTTTAAAAAAAAACTAATAAAATTGCACCACCAGTCAACTACCGGTCCACGGCGGTAGTCTGCAGCGATTAGAAGTCAGCACCACCGCCCTTTGTTTTTTTGAAATCATTTTAAACTTTAAAGTGTGGTGAGCTTTGTGCACATATTCGGTGAGCTTTGCAATGAGAGTCAGTGAACTTTGTTGCTGGGCTTTGTATGCATTTAACCATCAAATTTTGAAAAAAAGTAAAGTGTTGGAAAATCATGGTGAGCTTTGCAGTGGACAGTGGTGAGTTTTGCAGTGGTCAGTGGTGAGCTTTGCAGTAATCAGTGGTGAACTCCAGCGTCATCTGACATGTCATCTTACCACAAGGTGTCATCTCACTGGAGTCAATTCATATATATATATATATATATATATATATATATATATATATATATATATATATATATATATAGAAAAATACTAGAATAAATAAATAGGAAAAATTATCAAAAATAATCTCAACTTTACCCGATCTTTCAAAATAATCTTACCTTTCACTGCGATGTAAAATAATCTCAACTTTACTAAAATTTCTGAGTACTAGGTCGCTATTAAGTTGCTAATGGCGGATTAATGGAAACGGCATGTTTTGCGCCACAAAATGAATGTTGAGAATATTTTAGATAAATTTTCATTCTTTAATTGTTTTTGAGATTTTCATTTAAAATGTTAAAACTACTTTCTACCTCCATGATTTCTCTTTCTTTTTTAAACATTAAAATTAATGAAAAATAAATGAAATAAGAAAAATAACTAAAACCATGTAAAATTAATGGAATAATAAAACAATCAATAGAAACTAACCTGAAACTATCAAGAAATAAAATAAAACAATATAGAGTGGTGGAATTTAACATTTTACACACTATACAGAATATTAATGTAACACTTCTTATTTTTTAGGAAAAATTTTCTAAAGTAATTCTAACTTTACTTGTTCTTTCAAAAAATAAGTAATACATTAAAACTCTGCATAGTGCGTAAAATGTTATAATCCACCATTCGTTATATTTTTGTCATTTCTTACCACTTTATGTTTAATTTCTATTGATTATCTTATTTATTTCATTTATTTTGTATGGTTTTAGTTATTTTTCTCATTTTCATTATTTTTATATCTATTTTTAAATTCTTTTAAGGTAAGGCTAATCTTTAAAAAAAGAATAAAAGAAGGTAGAAAATCATTTTAAAAATTTAAATGAAAAAATTAAAAAAATATAATTTATCTAAAATAATCTCAACTTTCATTTTGTTGCGCAAAACCAACTATTTCTGTTAAACCGCTAACAACTTAAAGGAGGCCTAAAACTCACAAATTTTAAGTAAAGTTGGGATTATGATATATGACAGTGAAAGATGTGATTATTTTAAAAAAACCGGATAATATTGTGATCATTCTGGATAATTTTTTCCTAATAAATATGTAAAATAAATATTTTGTTATTCTGGAATTAGTATTCCTGTAGATATACGAGAAACACCATACAATTAGATGTATGCAATATTAATAAAGAACGACTGTTCCCAATCAAGTTCACATTACTATAAATTGGGTGGAAATGTATTGAGAATCTTCAGAGTAATGTTCAATCCACTGCGTCAGAAAACTAATATCTTCTCAATATATAACATTCGTAATCCACAAACTTCGTAGCAAATAAAAAAGAGCAGGCTCTGGTGTGCGTGTACAAAGGACCTGTGAAATACAATGGAATTAAAATACCACCTGCCCTATGGACCAGCCTGTGGTAAATATACTACATATGTTAATTTATACAACACCAGTGGTTTCCAAGTGCAGATATTCAAGTTCAGGACAGAAAAAGAAAGGGTACACAAAAATTAAATAAATTTTAATGATGCATTTTATCAGTGGACAATTCATCAAATCTTCCTCCAACGTTTTCTTGCTAATGTTCTTTGTCATCTCCCAAGCTTTTCACTTAAGTGTGTTCTTACTCCACTAAACATTGCTGCGATTGAAACTTACCGTCTGCAAAAAGACTAATGAAATGCTTTTCAAGCCTTTTTGCTCCTATACCCGGTCTTAGAATGTCGGCATCTCCCCAGACAGCACATTTGTCAGCTTTAGTATCGCCCAGACACCATCCACCCGGTACTGGTTTCCCAGGACTGCGGTGGAGAGCTTGACTGTCAATCTTGTCGAGAATTGGATCATTTTCCTGAAATGGTGAAGCAAATGCTGCACCAGTCCGGATCATGCTCGCGAAATCACTGGAGTTGAGCGGGCCTGCCTCCATCCTAGAGTTTCGTGGCACGTACTGCAGGTTGTTGTTGACAATGGTTCT